AATATAAATGTGACCCCTTTGGCCTAGCAGTTAAGACTCAAGACACCCACATTCCATGTTGGAGTACCTGAGTGCATTTCCTGACTCCAGTTTCCTACCAATGAAGTCTCTGGGAAATGACAGGTGACGGCTCAAGTAGTTGAATCCCTGCCACCCATATGGAAAACCCGGGTTGAATTCTTGGCTCCTGACTTGAGTCTTGGTTCAGTCCTCTCTCACTCGCTCTCTCTCAAATTAAAATACTTTAAATAACAAGTAAATATAAAACCACAAGGAGACATCACTATACAGCTTTTAGAATGGTTTAAATTTTTTAAAAAAATCAAGTTATGAAGTCAGCAAAACTGGCCTAACAGGAAACATCCCTCTACCATAAATCAGCAAATAAGTTCATCTGAATGAACTGGATACCCAGACAGAAGATAATGAAATTGGACCTGTACCTCAGACTGTATGCAAGAGCTAACTCAAAATTGATGGAAAGGCTGGTGCTCTGTGTGTGTGTGTGTGCACGTGTATGCATGCATGCATGCATGCAATTTTTTAAAAGATTTATTTATTTATTTGAAGGGTAGAGTTAGAGAGAGGGAGAGGGGGGTCTTCCGTCCACAGATTCACTCCCCCAAATACCTGCAATGGCCAGAGCTAGGCTGATTTGAAGCCAGGAGCTTCTTCCAGGTCTCCCATGTGGGTGCCTAGAGGTCCAGGTCCTTGGGCCCCAGCCCCCACTTGGGAAGACCCAAAGGCAGCTCCTAGTTCCTGGCTTCAGATCAGTGCAGCTCCGGCAGTTGCAGCCAATTGGGGAGCTGAACCAGTGGATGAAAGACCTCTCTCTTTCTGCCTCTCCTTCTCTCTCTAACTCTGACTTTCAAATAAATAATAAATCTTTTTTTAAATAAATAAATTTTAAAAGATAGTATCAGGACAGCTATAATAATTTAAAATTTTTTTCAAACAAGTGTTTCCAACGGTGTGGAGAAACTGTGACTCTTACACATTGCTGGTGGTATTCTAAAATGAGGCCATCACTGTGAAAATCAGTTTGGCAGTTCCTCAAAAGGTTACACATGAAAAAGCAAAGTCACACACACAGTCACAATATATACAAGCCAGCAATTCCACTGCTTGGCATAGACCAAAACAAACTGAAAACATGTAGCAGTAGAAGATGGCCCAAGAAATAAATAAATCTTAAAAAAAAGACAACAAATGGGCAGGCATTGGGTACAGCGGTGAAGGTAACAGTTGGAACACCCATATCCCATGTGAGAGTGCATGGGTTCATGTCCCAGCTCCTCTGCTTCCAATTCCACCTTCTTTCTAACTTGCATCCTTGGGAGACTGCAGATGATGGCTTAAATACTTGGCTCCCTGCCACTAACATGAGAGACCCAGATGGAATTCTGGGCTCCTGGCTTCTGCCTGGCCCAGCCCTGGCTGTTATGGGAATTCATGGAATAAAAAAATTAATAAAAAAAAAAAAGATTGATCCCTTACCCTCCCCCATCTCTTCATTTTCTCTCTCTGTCTCAGCCTTTCAAATAAAAATGAAAAAAATAGGAGCCGGCTCTGTGGCATAGCAGGTAAAGCCACTGCTTGCAGTGTCAGCATACCACATGGGCCCTGGTTCATGTCCCGGATGCTCTACCCCCTACTATGGCCTGAGAAAGCAGTAGAAGATGTCCCAAGTGCTTGGGCCCCTGCAAAGATTTTTAAAAAATAAAACAAAAGGTCCGCTGCTGTGGTGTAGTGGGTAAAGCCACCACCTGGACCACTGCCATCCCATTTGGATGCTGGTTCTAGTCCTGGCTGCTCCTCTTCTAATCCAGCTCTCTGCTATGGTCTGGGAAAGCAGTGAAAAATGGCCCAAGTCCTTGGGCCCCTGCACTCACGTGGGAGACTAGCAGAAGCTCCTGGCTCCTGGCTCAGATGGGCTCAGCTCCAGTCATTGCATCCATTTGGGGAGTGAACCAGCAGATGGAAGACCTCTCTCTCTCTCCCTCTGCCTCTCCCTCACTCTAACTCCACCTTTGGAGTAAATAAATCTTTTTTTTGGAAAAACGGGCCAAGAGTGATGTCTGTGGTGACAAACATTCTTTTCCTTGATTGTATCAATGTCAATAGGCTGATTGTGATAGTTTCCTGTAGATTTACAAGATTTGACTATTGGAGAATGGGTAAAGAAGTATATGGGATCCTTCCATATTATTTCTTTATTTCAAGATTGATTGATTTGGCCAGGGCCGCGGCTCACTAGGCTAATCCTCTGCCTGCAGCACCTGCATACCGGGTTCTAGTCCCAGTTGGGGAGCCGGATTCTGTCCCGGTTGCCCCTCTTCCAGTCCAGCTCTCTGCTGTGGTCCAGGAGTGCAGTGGAGGATGGTCTAAGTGCTTGGGCCCTGCACCTGCATGGGAGACCAGGAGAAAGCACCTGGCTCCTGGCTTTGGATTGGTGCAGCACGCTGGCTGCAGCGCACCAGCCGTAACGACCATTTGGGGGGTGAACCAACAGAAAGGAAGATCTCTCTCTCTCTCTCTCTCTCTCTCTCTCTCTGTCTAGCTCTGCCTGTCAAAAAAAATTGATTGATTTGAAAGGCAGTGACAAGGGTTCCCATCTGCTGGTTCACTCCCCAAATGCCTGCAACAGCCAGAGCTGGGCCGGACTCAAGCCAGGAGCCAGGAACTCCAGGTTTCTCACATGTGTGGCAGGGACCCAAGGACTTGAACCATCCCCTGCTGCCTCCCAAGGCACATGGCAGCATTAAGCTGGAATCAGGAGCAGAAGCAGGACTGGAAGCAGGCCCTCCAGTGCAGGATGCAGACATGCCAAGCAGCAACTTAACCACTGCACGGAATGCTAAGCCCTGTAGACTGCTTTTGAATCTGTTACTACGGTCATGAGAGACACTCTTGATGACTCGAGTGCTCCCCATCATGGATGTAGCATCCTTTATTTTACCTTCCCCTGTTGCTCGACCATTTGGTTGCTTCTCCCCATGAACACAAAAAATATACAGCTGAAGTTTTTATTATTTCAAGATAAATATCTAGAAGAGAAATTACTTGATTAAAAGGCATTACATGGGGCCAGCGCCATGGTATAGCGAGTAAAGCCACCGCCTGCAGTGCCGGCATCCCATGTAGGTGCTGGTTCAAGTCCTGGCTACTCCACTTCCCATCCAGCTCTCTGCTATGGCCTGGGAAAGCAGTAGAAGATAGCCCAAGTCCTTAGGACCCTGTGCCCTCGGGGGAGACCTGAAGGAAGCTCCTGGCTGCTGGCTTCAAGTCAGCACACTGTGGGGTGAACCAGTGGATGGAGGACTTCTGTCTCTCTCTCTCTCCCTCTCTACCTCTCTGTAACTCTACCTTCAAATAAATAAATAAATCTTTTTAAAAGAAAAAGTAAAAAAGGCATTGTGTGTGTGAGAGAGAGAGAGAGAGATTTGAGAAAGACTGACAGAGAGAGGATCTTCCAGCAGCCGGTTCATACCCTAAATCCTTTTTTTTTTTTTTTTTTTTTTGACAGGCAGAGTGGACAGTGAGAGAGAGAGACAGAGAGAAAGGTCTTCCTTTGCTGTTGGTTCACCCTCCAATGGCCGCCACGGCCGGCGCGCTGCGGCCGGTGCACCGCGCTGATCCAATGGCAGGAGCCAGGTACTTATCCTGGTCTCCCATGGGGTGCAGGGCCCAAGGACTCGGGCCATCCTCCACTGCACTCCCGGGCCACAGCAGAGAGCTGGCCTGGAAGAGGGGCAACTGGGACAGAATCCAGCGCCCCAACCGGGACTAGAACCTGGTGTGCCGGCACCGCTAGGTGGAGGATTAGCCTAGTGAGCCACGGCGCCGGCCCATACCCTAAATCCTTATAACAGCTGGGACAGGGCCATATGGGCAGGAGCCCAAGTACTTGAGCCATCACTGCTGCCTGCCAAGATCTGCATTGCCAAGAAGCTGGAACTCAAACCCAGGCAGCCCCACATGGGACACAGGCATCCTAACCAATAGGCCAGGGTCCACCTCAGGAGTGCGCATTTTAATAATACTGTATGTTTCAGAAACTCCATCTCCCCCTCATGGCCTGAAAGCACACACCCTCCCAGGTCACCTCTCTGTCCCTGTCACCAGTTTCACTTGCCATTTTCAAGGGGATCTTGGCCAGATGGCCATGCACCTGCCCATCCTGCTCCTCCTCCTGGTGAGGTTTGTCTGAGCTTAGCGCCACCTCCCTGGGATGTGGCCGCCTCTCCCATCTTGGGCCTCAGTCTCTGCCGTCTAATCAGACCTCCCATTTGCCTCCCATTTTGGTGCCAGTTTTTCCAAAGCACAAATCCCTGTCCCTGGGGCGCTTCAATCCCTGTGCAGGACAAAGGCCGGGACGCACGAGTGTGAGGTTCCCCGATCCCACCCCTAGCTCCCCATGTGCCTCCTCTCCTGAACCCCTCTCAGCACATGCTTCTGACTTTGGTGGCACCCCAGCCCCTAGCCGGTACCCCCTCAATCCTGAGATCACACAGGAAACATCCCCACCCCCTTATTGTGACTAGAACTGGTGTGGGTCTGTCCCCATGACAGATAAGCCTGCTGCTGGAGTCACAGGTTCTCAGTCCTGGGACTGTCTGGGTGCCCCTGTGCTGTGTGACCCTGGGCAGGTCGCCTCCCCTGTCTGGGCCTTCATTCCCATCTGTGAAATGGGATGAGAACTGCCTTGGGGCAGGGGGAGGGGAGCTTGGCTCTCAGAGGCAGGTTCTGTCCCTGAGCCCTAGCGCCCCATGAGTGTGGTGGACAGGCCATGTTGCTAGGACATAAACTGAGCTTTGTCTGGGACTTCACTCCCTACAGAGAGGAGGGGGCTGGGTGGGGTACACCATGGCCCCCCACAGACCCTGCCCTGGGCATTGTTTGCCTGCATCTGGGTGGTCTTAGTCTCCTGGGGGGTGCTGTCTCCACTGGTGACCCTGCCTGAGGATTCTTAGCTAAGGGTCTGGGGACCCAGGGGTCACCAGGAAGGCAGCCTTAGAATATCAGCTGGAGTGCAGGCAGTGGCCCCTGGGTAATGAAGGTGAGGGCAGGGAGGCAACCCAGAGGGGACAGAGGAGGGGGGTGTCCATCCAGTACCTGCAGGGACAGAGGTCCCCACCTGCCGCAAACTCCTGTTCCCATGCCCAGAGGACTAGGGGAAGGCTGGTGAGATGCCAGCCTTGGTACAGAATATTAGGGGAGCCCCAAAACTCAGGAACCAAGGTAAAACTTCAGTGTGATGTTAATCATAAAATTAACACAGACAAGCCTGTGATGGACAGAATATCACACTTTAAGCCAAGGTCTTGCCAGCACCTCCTCTGGGATGGGTCCTTCTCCCACTCAGCCGCAGGGACCCTCACACCCTGACACCCCCACCCCAACTCCCTGCCCTTTCTTTACCTGTGCCATGGGATCCGCAGGTTGAACCGGCTGCTTCCTACAGGGCCTCCAGGGCCCAGGGCCCTGCTCTGGGGTGCTGCTGTTGGGGTCCACAGGTCCTGGGCACCCACGACCAGGCCCAGCAGCAGCAGAGCCCAGAGCAGCCTGGGGCCAGGCCCAGGCCCCACCTGGCCACTCTGGAGCCTCATCCACACTTAGGGTCAAAGGTGCCTCCTTCCGGACTTGAGATAGGAGATGTCTGTAAGGAGCTGTCCCTGGTTCCCTCGCTGGCCACAGCTGCCCCTGTGCGCACCAGTCCGTGTGGCCTTGGCTTTCCCCTGGGCTAGCTCTGGTCCTAGCCCCCAGCGCAGCTCCCTCTAGGATCCCTGGCCATTACCCCTGGGGGCTGTCTCACAGAGAAACATCTGCCAACTGCTCTGCTGTGGTCAGGATCCTGGGCTCAACTGCCTCCCAGCCCAGCCAAGGGCCCAGCACACGTGACCCACCCTTGTCCCCTGTTCAGATCCCCAAGGGCACCCTGGGTTTTGGAGCATGACCTGGGGCCTGCAGGGGCCCTGGAGAGTGGGCTCAGCTGTGGAACAGAAGCCCCGGGCTGGAGGGCAGGTGGCAGGGGAGGAAATGAGTTTCACAAGACATGGCCGCTGTTGCGGTCCAGACTCATGATCTAAAGAACAGAACGGTGTTCAATGCACCAGGCACAGCACCTCACAGACCCCTCCCTCCCTCCCTCCCTCCTCTCTCTCACACACACACATACACACACACGCATTCTTATCAATTCTGCCTGCCCTTCCCCAGCTGTATTAAAGTAGGATCCAAACTCAAGTAACATGCATTTACAGTATACAGTGCCATGTTCTGATACATGCAGACATTGTGGAGTGATTACATCAAGGAAGTCACATATCCATCACGTCCCAGAAACCTTGGGCCTCACTGAAGTCTCCGTGCTGTGCAGTAGCTCTCGCAAACTCATCATCACGGATTTCATCCAGGGGCTATAGGGGAGTCACCACTGGGAGCACAGGCCAGGCCCCTTCACCCTCTTCCTAGGCTGAGCCCCTGGGCCCTGGGACCCTGTACTTTGGTATCGGGTGGGTGGCAGGCAGTGAGGAGGGGGCCAGGAGTGACCCCGCAGGCCACTGGAAATCTCCAAGCTCCCTGTCTTCCCCTGAAGGTGAGGTTGGAAGTGCTGCCCGTTCTGCTCACCCCCCAGGGCCATGGTTGGTGGTGCAAGACAACGGATGTAAAAGTGGGCTTTTTGTCAGCAAGTTTTCCTAAGTTTCTTTCTCAATGGTGATCAAGCATAGGTAACAAAATTTCCATCCTGACCAATTTTTTAAAGATTTATTTATTTATAATTCAGAGTTACACAGAGGAGGAGAGGCAGAGAGAGAGAGACGTCTTCCATCTGCTGGTTTACACCCCAAATGACTCTGATGGCTGGAACTGGGCCAATCCAAAGCCAAGAGCCTGGAGCTTCTTCTAGGTCTCCCATGTGGATGCAGGGGCCCAAGGACCTGGGCAATCTTCTACTGCCTTCCCAGGCCACAGCAGAGACCTGAATCAGAAGTGGAGCAGCCGGGACTCGAACCAGTGCCCATATACGATGCCAGCACTGCAGGTAGTAGATTTACCCACTACACCACAGCCCTGGCCCCCACCGACCATATTTTTTAATATTTATTTAAGAGGCAGAGTTGGAGAGGGAGGGGAGGGGAGGGGAGGGGAACTAAGGTCTTTTATCTGCTGGTTCCCTCTGCCAATGGCTGCAACAGCCAGAACTGAGCTGATCCAAAGCCAGGAGCCAGGAGCTTCTCCCAGGTCTCCCACGTGGGTGCAGGGGCCCAACACTTGGGCCATCTTCTACTGCTTTCCCAGGCCATAGCAGAGAGCTGGATGGGAAGTGGAGCAGCTGGGACTTGAACTGGCACCCATATGGGATGCCAGCGCTGCAGGCAGAGGCTTAGCCCACAACACCACAGCACCAGCCCCATCCTGACCATTTTTTAAGCCTGCACTTCAATGGCACTAAGTCCCCTGACACCACTGGGCAACCACCACCCCCACCCACCTCCAGAACTTTTCCTGTGAAACAAACTCTGGACCCACTCAACACCAGCTCCCCGCTCCCCTGGCCACTGTTACCCCCTCTGTCACCTTTATGAAGCTGGTGGCTCAAGCCCCTCATACAAATGGAAGCATGCACGGTTTGTCCATTGAAAGTGCTGCGTGTATATCACTGATGGGAGCCACCTGTGGTGATTTTAACCAGCTGGTGTGTGGCTGGTGTAGCTTAGGTGAAACCATTAGCCACCAGCAAATGAATGGATCTCCAGTGACACCTCTAGTGCCACTCTTCACATTTGCATTGCAGCTCAGAGAAGGTTGTGAAGTCAGCTCAGGCTGGTTGCAACCAGAAAAGTAGGCTCCTGGTAGCAAGGGATGCTTCGTGGGATGTGGCTCCAGTTGTCTAAATACATAGAGGGGATGGGATGTGGGTTTATTACTGGCTGTTGGTTTTGTTGGTTGGCTCTTGATTTTGACAGGACACTCCTGTCTGCTGGTTCACTCCCTGCATGCCCACAACAGCTGGGGCTGGGCCAGGGCCAAAGCAGGGAAGCAGGAAACTTAATCCAGGTCTCCCATGTGGGTGGAAGGCACCCAATTTTCTTTTTATATACATAAAAGATTTATTTATTTGACTTGAAAGTCACAGTTACACAGAGAGAGGAAGAGATGTAGAGAGAGAGGGGGAGAGAGAGAGGTCTTTCATCCACTGGTTCACTCCCCCAAATGGCCACAATGGCCAGAGCTGTGCCAATCTGAAGCCAGGAGCCAAGAGCTTCTTCTAGGTCTCCCAAGCAGGTGCAGGGGCCCAAAGGACTTGGGCCATCTTCTACTGCTTTCCCAGGCCATAGCAGCAAGCTGGATTGGAAGTGGAGCAGCCAGCTCTCAAACCGGTGCCCATACGGGATGCTGGCACCACAGGCATCAGCTTTACCACAGCACAGTCCCCCCCCAATTTTCTTTAAAAATTTTTTTATTTATTTGAAAAGCAGAGTAACAGAGAGAGAAAAACAAAGTGAGATTTTTCCACCTGCTGCTTCACTTCCCAAATGGCTGCAAAGCCAGGACTGGGCTAGGTCAAAGCCAGGAACTAGGAACTCCATCTGGACAGGTCTCCAACAGGGTGGCAGGGGCCCAAGCACTTGGGCCATCTTCTGCTGCTTTTACAGGTGCATTAGCAGGGAGCTGGATAAGAAGTGAAGCAGCTGGTTCTCGATCCAGAGCTCACATGAGATGTCAGTGTCACAGGTAGGTGGTAAACCCCTGTGCCATAACAATGACCCCAGCACCCAGTGTCTTTAGCCATCTTCACTGGCAGGAAGCTGAAATCAGGAGCCAGACAGAGCCAGGTGTTGAATCCAGGTTTTCCAATGGGGGAGGCAGGTGTCTGCCCCACTAAGCTAAACCCCTGCCTCCTAACTGGGAATATCCCAGAGGAAAAACTTTTGCAGAACACTGTCCTGGGACATGCTGGCTCAGTTACCCTTATGAGTCCAAACTGGTTGTCATCCATTCTTGCATGAGCAAAAAGTTCATGGGAAAATGCAATTAAAAGGTAAGTTTAAGCCAGCACCGTGGCTCACTAGGCTAATCCTCCACCTGCGGTGCCAGTACTCCGGGTTCTAGTCTCGGTTGGGGCACTGGTTCTATCCCGGTTGCTCTCTTCCAGTCCAGCTCTCTGCTGTGGTCCGGGAGTGCAGTGGAGGATGGCCCAAGTGCTTGGGCCCTGCACCCGCCGGGGAGACCAGGAGGAAGCACCTGGCTCCTGGCTTCGGATCAGCGCAGCACACCAGCTGTGGCAGCTATTTGCGGGGTGAACCAACGGAAGGCAGATTTCTCTCTCTCATTGTCTAACTCTGCCACTCTGCTTGTCAAAAAAGAAAAAACAAGGTAAATTTATTTTGGCATACACATACACACCCAAAATAAAAATCACTGAAGCCCAAGCGGTTTTTCCTATGAAGCTTTTTTCATGAATTTTGTGAGGCTCCCTTGGGTGAATGGGTTTCAGGGTGGTTTTGTTGTTGTTTTTGGCACCAAAATAAACTTACCTTTGAATTTCACTTTCCAAGGACTTTCTGAAGTGCCCTTGTATTTTACCGTTGACTGATCTGGAGTGAATCCTTGAGACCCTCACCCACTTGAGGCTCTGACTGTCCCCGTCCACTCAGGCCAATGCTGTCCCAAAGGCTCATCCGTCCCTTTGAAGCTCTCCCCAGCCCCCACACCCAGAATGAGTTCTGTGCATCCCACATGCCCCTAGTGGGGCAGCCATCCCAGATATCCCCTGGCTCTTGTCCAGCCATAACCACTGGATTCTGTAACAGACAAACTCCCTGTTAACCACATGTGGGTCCTGAGGACCAAAAGGAAAGTCAGAACCCATGGGCTGATGGGACTGTGCTTGGATCCCTGTGTCCCACAAACCCTGACTGAGGGCCAGGCATTGCATCCTGGAGGATTTGCAGTCATCAGCGAGATGGGCAAGGCGCTGACCAGTAACAGTGTGTGGGTGCCCTCAGAGACATCCTATGGGGCACGGGGAGAGTTTCCAGGAGGCTCGTGACCCAGCCCCCCCCCCCAGTGCAGTGCTGGCCCACTCCTGACTCTGACCTTAGCCTTGGAGTCTGTGGCAGGGTTGCCCCCAGAGGTCTGTGCTGAAGCTGCTCCCCACACTTGCACCCCCATGGGGGTGTGATACCACTGCCCACAGCATGGGAGCCATGATCCCTGCCTCCCCACACCTCTCAAGGCCAGGACAAGCCCCAGTCTTGGGGAGAAGAAGGGGCCGGCCCTAAACAGCACTGCTGGCTGCTCTGATGCCCCTGTGCTTGCCTGCCATGGCATCTCGGGCAGACGTGACCACCATAAGCCAGATCCTCCCTTGGTTGAAAACAGAACCGAGTCTGGCTGGGTCCTGGACACCCTCCGGGGCCAGACCAGTCCTCCCCAGGCTGGTGCAGCCACTGCTCTGGCAGCCCAGATCCCTCACCCCCCTGGCGCAAGCTGTGCCAAGGGCTAGATCCAGACCCACACAGAGGAATACGGGTCTTGAGCCTCTGCGCAGGGTCCCTGCCATCTCACCAGAGCCTTCCAGGTCCCTCTGGCACTCCTCTCCTGTGGTAGAGTGGCACCCTTACCTTCTGCCCTGCTCCCCTGTCACAGCAGCCCCTGCCAATCAGCCCCACCTGCCAATCAGCCCCACCCCACAGGCCCAAGCTTCCTGCTAATGCAGACCTCTGGGGGCAGGGGTGATGGATCAAGTAGTTGGGGTTCTGTCGTCCATTTAGGAGACCTGGATTGAGCTCTGGGTGCTGTTGCAGGCATGAACCAGCAGGTGAGAGCTCTCTCCCTC